AAAGGAAAGGAAAACGGAAAGGAAAGGAAAAAAGGAGGGAGGGAGGGAAGGAGGGAGGGAGGGAGGTCTGTTCTAGCAATTTCAAGTTTAAGATACTGAAAGTGTGAGTAAAGAGAGCAGTGCATACAAAAGTACATACAGAATGATGGCATTTCACTAAAAATCAAAACAAAGGGAAAGATACTACTTTAGCCAAAGCTAAAATTAAATCTCTGCCTTTCACCTGTAAAATGGAGATAGAAACAAAAATTCTCTCTTTAGATTCCATGGATATGACATTTAACAAAATTAAAAATGCCCCATGCTGATGTCAGTTTGTCAATTTTTTTTTCTTTTCATTCTTTCTTTTTTTTTGAGATAGTGTCTTGCTCTGTCACCCAGGCTGGAGCGCAGTGGCACAATCTCGGTTCACTGCAACCTCTGCCTCCCGGGTTCAAGTGATTCTCCTGCCTCAGCCTCCTGAGTAGCTGGGACTGCAGGCACCTGCCACCACGTTCAGCTAATTTTTGTATTTTTAGTAGAGACAAGGTTTTACCATATTGGTCAGACTGGTCTTGAACTCCTGACCTTGTGATCCGCCCACCCTGGCCTCCCAAAGTGCTGGGACTACAGGTGTGAACCACCGCGCCTGGCTAATTTTTTTTAAAGTAACAATAAATAATTGATTTTGGTTATTCTTTTCAAAAAGAAATATTCTTATAAGAATTAAGCTTTCATAGGTATTCAATATGTAAGAAATCTGCTCATTTTTTTTGGACATCTAAACAATTCAACTTGAACTGGAAAGAAAAGCAAAACACTCCTACAAAGAATCATGAGAATTCACAAAATACATAAATAATCTTCATGTCCACTGATTAATTTCAAAATTAAGGCCGGGCACGGTGGCTCACGCCTATAATCCTAGCACTTTGGGAGGCTGAGGCGGGCGCATCATCTGAGGTTGGGAGTTAAAGACCAGCCTGACCAACATGGAGAAACCCCATCTCCACTAAAAATACAAAATTAGCTGGTCGTGGTGGTGCATGCCTGTAATCCCAGCTACTCAGGAGGCTGAGGCAGGAGAATCGCTTGAACCTGGGAGGCAGAGGTTGCAGTGAGCCGAGACAGCACCATTGCACTCCAGCCTGGGCAATAAGAGCAAAACTCTGTCTCAACAACAAAAACACACACACAAAAAAAACACACAAAAAAGCAAAATCAAGTATTATTTCTTTAAAAGCAAGAATGTTTGTTGATCATTGCTTTCTCCATATTTTTGATAACATCCACAATAAATGCTGGTCTCAATAAAAGGAAAAATAGGATCAATTCTCTCCTGAAAATTCAAGTTCAACATTTTAATACTTTATTAGGAAACAAATTTGCTGCCGGGCACGGAACCTCATGCCTGCAATCCCAGTACTTTGGGAGGCCGAGGCAGGTGGATCACAAGGTCAGATCAAGACCATCCTGGCTAACAAGGTGAAACCCCATCTCTACTAAAAATACAAAAAGTTAACTGGACGTGGTGGCGGGCGCCTGTAGTCCCAGCTATTCGGGAGGCTGAGGCAGGAGAATGGCGTGAACTGGGGAGGCGGAGCTTGCAGTGAGCCGAGATCGTGCCACTGCACTCCAGCCTAGGCGACAGAGCAAGACTCTTGTCTCAAAAAAAAAACAAGCAATCAAATAAACAAACAAACAAAAAACTCCAAAAAACACAAAGGAACCATTTTGCCAAAGCAACATTTAAAAAAAAAAAAGGGCTGGGCATGGTGGCTCACGCCTGTAATCTCAGCACTTTGAGAGGCTGAGGTAGGAGGATCACAAGGTCAGGAGTTTGAGACCAGCCTGGCCAACATGGTGAAACCCCATCTCTACTAATAATACAAACATTAGCCAGGCGTGGTGGCGTGTGCCTGTAGTCCCAGCTACTCGGGAGGCTGAGGCAGGAGAATGGCGTGAACCCAGGAGGCGGAGCTTGCAGTGAGCAGAGATTGCGCCACTGCACTCCAGACTGGGCGACAGGGTGAGACTCAGGGAAGGGGAAGGGGAAGGGACATAGGAGAAAATTGCTCAAAAAAGGCAATTTGATTTCTTTTCCTCTCCACTTAGAGGGACTGGAGGTTATAGGTCCTGCTTAACTCTCTATTATTAAAACGATATACAGTAGAAAGTGCTCTTCTTTAAAGAGGCAACACAAAAATAACCTAAATCAACACAATGCAACAAACACTTCTGAGTATCTATTTATACAGCCAGGCTTTGTGCCCAAGAGTTCTAGATGGTGCTGACATATCTGCAGAGAGCATGCATGCAATCTAGATCAGCTGGATACTGTTAGATATGTACACAGTGAGCTCATACACGGCAAGAACCAGAGGCCTTACCTAGAAAAGTACCAATAAAAAAAACTTTCAATGGCACGTTTATCACAGGAGATGTGATATTAATAAACCAATTAGGCAGAAATGGTGTTATTCTCAAAAATATAATGTAGTTAATGAGATGTTCTCTATGACGGTCAACCTGTCATAAGAAAGAAAACAATTAGCATCAGATTGAGGACAACTTCAAAATAAGTCGCTTAATATAAACACTTTATTTCAAATTCTCATTCCTGATACTTCAGAGCATACCCAAGACAAATGATCAGGCTGGCATGGTGTTTCTTGCCTGTAATCCCAGCACTGTGGGAGGCCAAGGCAGGTGGATCACCTGAGGTCAGGAGTTCGAGAACAGCCTGGCTAACATGGTGAAACCCATTTCTACTAAAAATAGTGGTGGCATGCGCCTGAAATTCTAGCTACTTGGGAGGCTGAGACAGGAGAACCTCCGGGAGGCGGAGGTTGCAGCGAGCCAAGATGCACTTCAGCTTGGGCAACAAGAGCGAAACTCCGACTCGAAAAGAAATGAAAAAAGAGAAAAGAAAAGATCAAAAAAGGCAGTGGTGACTCATGCCTGTAATCCCAGCACTTTGGGAGGCTGAGGCAGGAGGGTCGCCTGAGGTCTGGAGTTTGAGACCAGCCTGGCCAACATGGTGAAACCCTGTCTCTACTAAAAATACAAAAAATTAGCTAGGCATGGTGGCATGTGCCTGTAATCCCAGCTACTCCGGAGGCTGAGGTAGGCAGGAGCATTGCTTGAACCCGGGAGGCAGAGGCTGCAGTGAGCCGAGGTCATGCCACTGCACTCCAGCTGGGTGACAGAGCGAGACTGTGTCTCAAAAAAAAAGAAAAGAAGAAAATGCACTGGGAGTTGGCTGATACAAGTGTTTCAATAACACATGCACAGAATACTGCATTAACATAAAATGGATAGGTATCTAATTATGTGGATGCCTTTATACTGACACTTTGACTTCTCTGATTGAATTTACTCAGATAAAAATTACCATCACAGGTCTAAAACATTTGTATGTGAAATTATTAACATTCATATTTGCCTACCACCTATTTTTATTTGGTCAGAAGATAGTTGTTATTACTTAACTTAGGAAATAATTTGTGTTGGTTTAATATATGTAGCTAATTCATGTAGGCACTAAACACAGAACTTCCAATTAACAAAGAGTTACATCAAATAATTTAACAACACGTTTACCTGCTGTGACCATTTTACTGCTTTCTCTGTTAGGTATTTGTATACAACTGGTCTCCCAACTAAATAGGAAAGCATGTAACAAAAAGAGGCACCAAGTCCAGAACACTAGAAAACAAAAAGAAGCCATAAGCATTTTGTATTTTTCCATCTTACTCACATTGATTTATTCACCTGAGTAAAAGCTCAATTAATTTACTTCTTTCGGAGGGGCGGAGGGTACTCTGCAAGACATCTCTTGTGCAGAGATGATCTAGTACTTTCTCAGACCAAATTGTACCTCAAATGAGATCAGCTAAAACAAACTGGCACTTGTGATTACACCTAGTGACTATATCCAAATAGTTAATGCTAGGCTTTAGCCTAAGAATAAAATTTCAAGAGCCAATTTCCAACCTCCTCCCGACCCCCACAATTTCTAAGCTTGAAAACACCACCTCTGGCCCCGGGACTTAACTCATTGTGCTCATCAACACTCTTTTGGACTGTCGCAGTTACAAAATCCAATAGGAAAGAAAAGCTAAAACATAGCTTATAAATGCAACTAAGTCTAAATGGTCTGTTCTGGGGGAAAAACAAATTGTAACACCTCCTTGTGAAGGGACTTTAACTCCTCTTAAACTAATGAGTTTATGCTTACATAGACTAGTGGGATTAAAATATCATCATCCTCATCATTCTATTGTTTTGTTTTTTTTTTTTTCAGTCTCCCAATTTTATTTTTTCATACTTACCAAACAAACAAGAAATAAGGCCAGTGGAAAGGGATAAAGAAACCCTGAAAGTATACTGAGAAATATAGAGCCTGGAATAGCAAATGTTTGCAAGCTGGTAACTTTTAAGTTAAGGATTAGAACACAATTAAGTGGAATTTTAAAAGACAAATGTAACATTTCGGGAAAAAAGTATAAATACAGAAATTATCATATAATGAGATTATAACCAAAGGTTTAGCCTCTAAGTTGACCATTTACTAAACGGTATAAATACCAGCAAGTGTGCGCTACTAAAAGGTTTCCAAGACAAAAATTCAGTATGTACTAGATAGAGAGGAATCGGGCACTTTGGGGGAGGAAAAAAGAAAAGGTCTTCCGTAATCTTTCAGTGCTTCTCTAATACATTTTACTCCCAAATGTTTTCAGGGAAATCATGTACATATAATTATTTCTAATTTAATTATGAAGATTTACCTAAATTCACTACTCATTTTAAAGGAATAGGAGCTACAATAGAATTAAAAAAATAAGAAAAATAAAATAAGAATAGAAATTACAAAATATAGTAAAAGTCACAAATCTTATTTATTTTTGAGAAGGGGTCTTGCTTTGTCACCCAGGCTGGAATGCAATGACGCACTCATGGCTCACTGCAGCCTCAACTGCCCAAGCTCAAGAAATTCTCCCACTTCAACCTCACAAGTAGCTAGGATCACAGACATGTGTGTCACCACGCCAATTTTTATTATTTGTAGAGATGAGGTCTGGCTATGTTGCCCAGGCTAGTCTTGAACTCCTGGGCTCAAGTGATCAGCACTGCTCATCTTCACTTCCTCAGAGGAGATTCTCTCCTTGTTCCCTGTGACCTGCTTTACTATTCCACTATGCTATTGAAACTTCCTCATAGCCAATATTAATAACTTTTTCTCAACAGTCACCTTTCAGTGATCCCTGTATAGGATTAGACTTCATCCTGCATGAAACATGGCTTCAGTGAACTGTACTTCTTCTTCTACGTTACAGGTAATTTCTTCTCTAGATTTTTCTCTTTGCCTCAAATCTGAAATTTCTCTAACGTTCTGTTAGTCACACTCTCCCTTTCCTTTGATAAACTTGGCAATTTCCATGGCTTCAAGTATCAACCACATATAGTACTAAAACTCAAAACTCTCTGATCAGCCAGCCTCAAATTTTCGACCTGTTTCCTACACGTCTCTGTTAAAAACAAAACACACACACACACACACACACACACACACACACACACACACACATATGTATTTTGGGTTACGATTGTATTATATGGGCCGGGTAGGGTGCCTCATGCCTGTAATCCCAGCACTTAGGGAGGCTGAGGCGGGTGGATCAAGAGGTCAGGAGATCGAGACCATCCTGGCCAACATGGTGAAACCCTGTCTCTACTAAAATATAAAAAATTAGCTGGGTGTGGTGGTGGGCGCCTGTCGTCCCAGCTACTCGGGAGGCTGAGGCAGGGGAATGGCTTGAACACGGAAGGCGGGAGATTGCAGTGAGTAGAGATCTTGCCACTGCATGCCAGCCTGGCAACAGAGCGAGACTCCATCTCAAAAAAACAAAATGAAACAAAAGATCATATTATGGATAGTTTCACACATATATAAATGTAGAAATACTCAGTGTAAATGATGAGTTGATGGGTGCAGCAAACCAACATGGCACATGTATACCTATGTAACAAACCTGCAATGTTGCGCCCATGTACCCCAGAACTTAAAGTATAATAATTAAAAAAAAAAAAAAAAAAAAAAAGCAAGACTCCAAAGGATGAAAGGAGATAAATGGAAATTTTCCCTTGAGGAAACTGAGAGAAGCAGGAATAAATGAAGACAAGTTCCCAGGAAGTGTTTTGTTGTTTTTGTTGTTATTGTTTAATGCAACTGTTTTTTTTTTTTTCTTTTTTTTTCCCTAAAATTTGGTGAAATTCCTACTTGTCTGAAAAGGAAACCTAAAATTACAGCTGAAATTGGGGAAAAAAAACCAAAGTTGAGAAACTAGTGTTACGATGCCCTATGTCAACATATTTCAGGCTGGGTGCAGTGGCTCACGCCTGGAATCCCAATACTTTGGGAAGCTGAGGGTGGATCACTTGAGACTAGGAGTTGAAGAACAGCCTGGCCAACATGATGAAACTCCGTCTCTAATAAAAATACAAAAATTGGCCGGGCACAGTGGCTCATGCCTGTAATGCCAGGTCCTCAGGAGGTTGGGACACGAGAATCACTTGAACCCAGGAGGCAGAAGTTGCAGTGAGCCACAATCATGCCACTGACCTCTGGTCTGGGCAATAGAGAGAGACTCTGTCTCAAAAAATAAAAATAAAAATAAGGCTGGGTGCGGTTGCTCACGCCTGTAATCCCAGCGCTTTGGGAGGCCCAGGTGGGAGAATCATGAGGTCAGGAGTTCGAGACTAGCCTGCCCAACATAGTGAAATCCTGTTTCTTACTAAAAATACAAAAACTGGTCGGGTGCGGTGGCTCACGCCTGTAATCCCAGCACTCTGGGAGGCCGAGGCAGGCGGATCACGAGGTCAGGAGATCAAGACCATCCTGGCTAACACGGTGAAACCCCGTCTCTACTAAAAAAGTACAAAAAATTAGCCAGACGTGGTGGCAGGCACCTGTAGTCCCAGCTACTCGGGAGGCTGAGGCAGGAGAATGGCGTGATCCTGGGAGGCGGAGCTTGCAGTGAGCCGAGATCGTGCCACTGCACTCCAGCCTGGGCGACAGAGCGAGACTCTGTCTCAATAAAAAACAAAAAACAAAAACTAGCCGGGAGTGGTGGTGCGTGCCTGTAGTCCCAGCTATTTGGGAGGCTGAGGCAGGAGAATGCTTGAACCTGGGAGGCGGAAGTTGTGGTAAGCCGAGATCATGCCATTACACTCCAGCCTGGGTAACAGAGTGAGACTCCATCTCAAAAATAAATAAATAAATATAGGCCAGGTGCAGTGGCTTACGCCTGTAATCGCAGCACTTTGGGAGGCTGAGGCAGGTGGATCACCTGAGGTCAGGAGTTCGAGACCAGCCTGATCAATATGGTGAAACACTGTCTCTACTAAAAACATAAAAATTAGCTGGGAATGGTGGCACGCTCCTGTAGTCCCAGTTACTCAGGAGGCTGAGACAGGAGAATCGCTTGAGCACAGGAGGCAAAGGTTGCAGTGAGCCCAGATTGCGCCACTGCACTCTAGCTTGGGCAACAAGAGCGAGACTCTGTCTCAAAAAATAAATAAATCAATAAAATAAATAAAAATTAAAACCCCACATTTTTCAATGTCCAAATTGTTTAATATCATTAAAATAATTCCTTTTCTGCCAGGCGTGGTGGCTCACGCCTGTAATCCCAGCATTTTGGGAGGCTGAGGTGGGCGGATCACCTGATGTCATGGGTTTGAGACGATCCTGGTCAACACGGTGAAACCCCACCTCTACTGAAAATACAAAAATTAGCCGAGCATGGCGGCACGCGCACGTAATCCCAGCTACTTGGGAGGCTGAGACTGGAGAATCGCTTAAATCCAGGAGGTAGAGGTTGCAGTGACTAGAGATTGCACCATTGCACTCCAGCCTGTGCGACAAGAGCAAAACTCCATCTCAAAAAAAAAAAAAATTGGTTTAAAAATGATGATTATTTTTACAACATCAAGAGGTAATGTCTTTCATTAACTGAGAAGATCTGGAAAATAGTTTGGATAAGAATAAAAGATATTAACAAATCAGAAATGAAAAATTAAACTCCACAATTTGCAAAATTAAGCACCCACAGCATAAGCCGTTTGAAATAAGGCTATTTTCCTGACTAGTTAAAATGTAATCTATTTCTATAAAATAAATATATATCAAATTGTAAAAAAAAATTCATTCCTTTGAATAAGTATCTTAAGAATTTTTACAAAGGAAACAATGCAAGAAAAAAATCATGAACAAAGGAGATTCATAATACATACCTATAAAAATTAACACATTATACCTCCAAACCTAAGAGAACAATTATAAAAATACTATTTTGACTAGTAACTTAAAATAATTATATAAACTAATATCATCAGTTAATTAATACAATTATAAATCAAACCCATAAAATAATATGCAGTAAAGGAAAATGTTTGATAAGTGAAAAAAGCAGAATACAAAAGAATCAAAAGAACTTGTGATAAATATTCAGACATAAAAACAGTCCAGGAAACAGGATTAAAGTGATAATTTTTTTCCATTTCAAATTTTCAATTATTTAATATTGTTACACTGCAATAACAAATTTTAAAAGGAAAATATGTATAAATGAAGAGCAGACTTTTTACACTTTTTCTTGAACAAAATTAGAAAACATTTTTTCAGTTAAAAGGATACAAAATATATGTAGCAAAATAAGCTACAAGTACTTGAACATAAAAGGTGTCCTTATATTTGGATAAAACTTTTCCTAGAGCCTTGGCATCATCCATATCTCTGGGAACCTTCATATTCACTCTTTCTTCTCTAAAGAAATAAAGTGAAAAATTTTACAACAGAATTTTGCCAAGATAGTATCAAAGTCAAGTTCACAACATGAAGTTTTATCCAAAATGATTTGATGCCTTGATCTGTTGTCTAAATTAGCAATTTTTAAGTTTAAAAGTTTATAATGTTTTCTTCGTTTACATAGTCTTGCTCTGTTGCCCAGGCTGCAGTGCAGTGGTGGAATCTCAGTTCACTGCAATCTCTGCCTCCTAGGTACAAACGATTCTCCTGCCGCAGCCCTCTCAGTAGCTGGGATCACAGGTGTGCACCACCATGCCAGTTAATTTTTGTATTTTTAGTAGAGAGGGAGTTTTACCATGTTGCCAGGCTAGTTTCAAATTCCTGTGCTCAAGTGATCCTCCTGCCTCAGCCTCCCAAAGTGCTAGGATTACAGAAGTGAGCCACCGCACCTGGCCTATAAATTAGTATTAATTTTATTTTATTTTTATTATTTTTTTGACACAGAGTCTCACGCTGTTGCCCAGGCTGGAGTGCATTAGCGTGATCTCGGCTCACGGCAACCTCCACCTCCCAGGTTCAGGTGAGTTTCCTGCCTCAGCCTCCCAAGTAGCTGGGATTATAGGCACATCCCACCATGCCTGGCTAATTTTTGTATTTTTAGTAGAGA